GCGGCATCATGTCGCGCTTGCCTCAAGAATTCAGGAGACTTCAGCCCGTGCGCCTTAAGGTGCCTCATATGTAGCCTCAGCCACTATTCGATCGATCTTGAGTTGCACAAAATGGGAGGAACAAAAAGTAGCTTAGGCTACTTCCCGTGTGGCTTGGGCCGCCCCTGTTCACTGTTTCACATGAAATCTTCGATTTTTAAACAATCGATACCACCAAAAACTATGGATAAACATAGGGGAAATTCTAGGCATTCAAGAGGTCGACAAGTTAAATAGAATAACGCTGACGAGACCCAAAAAGGAACATCCAGAATTCGATTAGAAAGATCTTGATAAATAAAAATACAGGTGTTACATGCTAATCCTCCCTCTCCACCTCATCGTAAACACGCAACCTGTTGCGTATTTTGAAAGCCAAACAAATTGGATTAATGATCAAATGCTTAACAATAATGTTATTAATTTAAATTAGTACTATAGGACAAAAAGTGTAAATTAAGATGCAAAAGTTTCTAAAAAAATATTGCATTTTTATTGTTATAAATCAAAATAGAAATGTCTCATCTTTCTTAAACAAGAAAGCATTACTCAAATATATTCATTGAATTATACATGGCAAATTGTAGACATGTTTGTGGTTTCATTAAATGTGTATTAGTATGATATAAAAATTTATTATAAGCAATAACAAAAAATTAATGCATTTGAAAAACTAAAATCCAAAACTTATGTTTAAAAAAACTAAAATTAAAATCATTCTTAATCTATATATATATATATATATATATATCTAAAATTAAAATCATTCTTAATATATATATATATATATATATATATATATAAAGTAGAAACATATAATGTTGATATGGCATCTTCTCATATCAGTATTCATGTCTTTCTTTTCCTTTTTCCTCAAATTTTTTCTTTTATTTTAGGTTTTATATTTAATCTAAATATTTTACTCTTCATCTTCTACCATTACAATGTCTTCTCTTCCACATCTCTCTATCGTAAACTTCTTTACTCTTCTCGATCTCGATTAGAAATTATGGATTGACAGTATATTTAGCGGTACGCCTCTCTTTATCTTTCTATGCATCTATAGAAAGATATGAAACAATAATTATGGGTTTTTTTACTTCTATTTTCTCGATCTCTCTATATACTATGTTATTTGTGATTAGAAGCAAACTGAAGGAGATTAAGGAAACCATACAAGGAGTAACAGGAAAAGTCTATGGCAAAATCAGTTGTTGGTATGTTTTTCCCTCATATCTGAAGTTCCGAGAAAACCAATTAGATACCCAATATCTCCATGAGACTAGATACCTCAATTTTTCACAAAAATATGGACTTTGAAGTCAATCTAGATATCTTGGATTAACAATTTTGTTATTTTCATTTTGAAGATTGCAGATTATTTTTGTAAATAATTAATTATTTATCTTATATTACATTTTTTTAGGACTCGGGATATTCATAGAAGAAAAAAAAATGATAATTTCCCATCTTTTTAAACTAAAACATAATTTGATAATTTTCTATTACAACCACGTTCCATGTCACAATTTTATTGGATTTTTCATTATAGAAGGTAATATTCAACTTTATACCTAATAATAATATACCGAATTGACATATGTTATTTATAAATTATATTTTTATTTTCACAAGCAATATATTACACATCTCTTTATTCTTATAATAAAACATCTAAAAACAAGAAATTAATTCTACATCTATAAATATGCTCAATTATATTTTTAAAAACACATTACAACTCGGATTTATGTACATTTATTACTCTTGCAGAGAATTATTGAATGTTATGATTTTAATAATTTAAGAGTTGTCGTCCAAATATCATTCATAACTTCAAATCAAACGTACCCTTAGTATACTTGTATTTAGTATTTCATAAAATATTGTGTTTTTAAAAATAAGAGTTGTTGTCAAATATTTTATAATATATTTTCGATATTTCCTTTTATAAATACATTTCAATAAATAGGCATTTTCAAACTCTTCATCTAATAATTTTCAAAGACTATATATTATTCTTTAAAAATAATATTTCTTAAAATAACAAATAAATAAATAAATAAAAAGGAAATAATTTTAGAAGTTTAAAAATACAATATTTTGATAAATAACTAAAAATAAAACATGTATTCTATTTTTGAGAGCCAATCAAAATATTTATATTTCTAAAAATAATTAAAAATAAAACATGTATATATATATATATATATATATATATATATAATATAGAGTTAGGTTCATGTGAGATTAATATTTTTTCATGAGACCCGTAAGACTAATTTATGTTCATTGATCAACTTTATAAACTAATGATCTAATGTTTAAAAGTTGTACGGTGACAATTTTGTGATTATTGAGAAGTCTCCTGACAATTTTGTAATTCAGATTGTAGATCTAATCCAAAGATTGAGAATTAGTCTTACGGAACTCACGAAAAACTTTTAGTCTCACATGATCATAAAAATAAAACATGTATTCTATTTTTGAAAACCAATCAAAATATTTGTATTTTTAAAAATAATTAAAAATAAAACATGTACTTTTATGAATATATATATATATATATATATATATATATATATATATAGGGGCCTAATCAAATGAGAACTAATTAGTTTGTGGTAACTGTGAGAACCAATATTAACCATAAATCAATAGATAAATTA